ATTGAACAAGTACGCACTAATGTATATGTAATAACAAATAGATCCATAAAATTTTGTTAATATTTCTGTTTTTGAGTCTTTTGTAAGCAGTGAACATGAATTCTGGATTTGTGAAAGCAGATTCATCTAATTTATAAACGTCCACAAAAGTCAAATAAGACGAGAAAAATATAACAAAAATATACAGCATTGAAACTATCTGCATATTACGAGAAGAAAACACAAATGGTATAATATTTGGCAACGTTGTAACATTGTGTAGTTATTCTATAGGATGCTTTTGCGCGGGAACATTCATCAATATTGATTTTTAGTTCCAATTTTTTTCTATTTAAATGGATGAATGAAAGTTTCTTTTTTTCTAAAACTAAATACCATTATTGATTGTTTCTTCTTAAAAGCATTAAAGATTCCGATACGTTGTTATAGTCCATTGTTTACAACCCTAAACCCCTCGATTGTATTTAGGAAGTACTTCGCGTATATAAAAGATTTGAAACATTAGCATGTTCCCCAATAAGACAGGGGTCGGAGACTTCCTATATGCTTTTGTGTTACCTACTGCTAGTTTCCAGTTAACATTTTGTATTTTTTCTGTATTTGGCGAAGAAAAAATATACTGTTCAACTAAAATGGATAAACTACTATTGTTGAAACGCATTTAAGTTAATTTAAAGTTTGTTCTTCTACTTTTCCTTTTGATGATTTTTAAATCTTCCTAATTTCTTCAATATTTTTTACCTGTTAATAAACTAAGAAACTTTTGATAATCAAAATGTTTTATTTACACAATGGTATCTTATTTTTCTTATGTATTGCGGTTTGGTTTGGGAATTCGGAGTCCAAATGTGTTTATTCTGAAACAAAATTAAAAAAATTAATTTCAATATAATCAAGTTTACATGGTTAACCTCGACCTTTTAAAAGTGAACAATGTAGTCTGAAATTGTGTATTTCGGAACATCCTTTAAAATAATTATGCAAAGAAGTAATTCTATAATTAATTTCCATTATATTTGTGCCGATATAAAAGTGAAAATGTATTCTCAAGTTGTATATTACAGGACATCCTTTAAAATCGACATAGAAATTCTATAATTAATTTTCATTTTTCCGAAAAAATATCGGTTTAAAAAAATACGAACATAAAGTACTTTGTACAGTAGTCTGTATACAGACAACAGTACAATTTAGCAATTTGGGAACTATACAAAATAAAAAGAATATAAATTAACCTTTATAACTTATTTTTACTTGAAATTATTATATTCTTCTGAACTGCTGTCTATATACAGATAAGGAAATCTAAATGTGGACCTTCTATTTCACAATGAAGCGGACAAGGTATAGTAGGAACACGCGTGAACGAAAAACTGCTAAGCAGCGCATTACCTATTCCGTGACATCGCGCACGGTACATACGACTTCTACCTCACCTCCATTTAACGATCGTACCAAATAGATTTGGCTTATATGGACCGCATTTAAATTTCTGAATCTGTATATTCAGGGACATCCTTTATAATATTACCTTATATATGGGGTGATAATTTACAAACTTACAATGACTATCTCATAAACTAAGATGATATCAGAATATGTTTAAAACTGTTTTTAGGATAAGAAGGGGGAAGTTAAATCACAAAATACAGAACTCACACCAACAACCACATATGGGCCAGTTACCTTAAAAACAAAAAAAATGGCAACCCTTCTTGTTAGACATCATTTTAAGGCTAGTAAAAAATGCTTTTCAATGATACCCTATACAATAGTACATATTAATTAAAAACCTATTTAATAGAAGATGTCGTCTGTACCTGAATTATTTTGTTTAAATATTTCTAGACCAGAAGCACAAAATAAATTATTTTTATTATGTTTTACTTTTCTAATATCATATTTAGTTCATGAGAAATACCTAGAAAATAATAGCTATTTTAATTAAGAGCCTTTGCCTAAAGTAAAAATTACACCAACTAAAATCATGGAAGGGTAAAAATCACCCATATCCTACCATAAATGACATCGTATTTTTTTTTTAGGACCACCCCTGTTCCCTCAATTATTTTTTATGGAGAGCTGTATTTATTTGTAGTATTTTTGTCTGTTGCAAAAAACATGTATATTTTATGGTATTTGAGTAAAAACAATTTTATGGACTGATGGTAAACTAAGTCATAACTAACACAACCCAAACACTGTCGCTTTTGACGTTATTACAATAAAAAAAATCAATAAAGAGTTATTGCAAGTTTACTTAAGGTCAGTCACTATTAGCGCCGCTCTTATTTTGACATTTGAGCATGCGCAGATCGTTTAGGTTCTAGAAATAAATGACTTTATTAAAGATTGTGCCTGTCCTTAATCGCGGATGTTTAAAGGCAACAGGTAGTGGCGATATTATAGCTATCGGGTGTGCTCGCCGATATTCGTATCAGTTCGAAGTTTTTTAATATTAAATATTTAATAATATCGTCACCTAAACCTTCTAAGATGATAATTTCTAATGCCCCTTCCATATCATGTACTATTATAAATCTTATTTTAGCATGCAATATAATTGCCTCTAATTTCCTACGTCGTTACTATTAGTGGCTGACGTTACAGAAATTTGCAATATTTCTCTAATAGGCATAGGTATCGACTGAAAAATAACAATCCAATATGGTGTAGAACTGTAGAAATTGTCGATACTACCCAGTTTATGTATTGTATTTTTTGTTTGTATGGAGTACACATTTAATGAACAAACTGATATGTTGCTAGTGCTTGGTTTCTGTAATATTAACTGTCATAAGAGTGTTCAAGTATACCATGAAAGATTTGAAATAATGCTGGACGATCTCGTTAAGCCAGAACTTCTGCTGCAGAGGAGGGAATACTTGAAATAGTTGAAAATAATCCCGGAATTAGTACCTACCCAAAGACTGGCACGCCAAACTAGGGTTTCAAAAAGCACATCCAACAGAATAATTAGAAAGTGTCCAGGATTTCTATCACCTGATTATGGGTTTTTTGTATTTTATACAAGTCATTCAAGAGCGCAGAGCGGCCGATCCAGTTTTTTGTGTACAGACGAGTCATGCTTTACATGACGTGGTATTACAAATGCACATAACGAACATGTTTACGCAGATGAAAATCCATATATAATTAAAAAGAATCATTAACAACGAAAGTTTAAAACTAATGTATAGGTGGACATTATTGACAACTTTTTGATTGGTCCATTTAGATTGCCAGATCGTTTTAACGGTAACAGTTACTTGCATTTTCTACGTCAAGACTTGCCTCAACTGTTAGAAGACTTACCGCTCAATTTACGCCGTGGCATGTTTTTCATTATTAAATATCCGAACCTTTTCCATAATAAATGTAAGCATTATACAAATAATTATTTCTGGCATCTGTGAGGCACATAATCTTTATGCCATATTTAGCAGGCTTTTTTGGCATGTACATTACGAATCCGCATCGGTCTCTAAAACCCACTAGGCTCTCATCCACGCAAACAAATGCCCCCCAAAGAAAATAGACCGGAAATAGCTGCAGCTCTAACTTCCTTCATTTTCTCTGCTCTATACTTGTCATTATCAAATTTCAGTGCGACTAATAAAGTTTGAAACCTTCTTCTTGACATTTTACACCTAAATACATCTCTTCCAGTGCCATCAGTAGCAAAAAAACCCTCTAAACTCTCTCTTCCTGCCTTAAAAACTTCTGTGTAAGTAAGCAACCCCAAAAAAGCTCTCATCTCTGCATCTTGCAATGGTGAATGGTTTTGGTTCTTGTACTTTGTCCGAATTTGAGAAAGTTTACGATTTGTCCAATGCACAACTTCATGCAGCATATCTGCGCTAAATAGTAATTCCCATACTTGTAGAGGGCTTGCATTTTCTCCCAATGCCTTTGCTGGACCTCATAACCCGGGTAAACTCTTCACTAAGTTGTGACTTCTTGTTCTAGAATTAGCTGAAGGCGGTTGCTTTGACCATTTCGTAGCGTTTTTCTTCTCACGCCCGTAAAAAAATCTTGTCTTCTTAAATTTTCTTCAAGTTCATTGTTTCCTTCCTCATGTTCTTCTATAACTTTATTTCCGGATTGCTCCGATTCCGTATCAGATTCACTTTCAGAGACGTAACTTTCATCCTCATCGCTTATGAAATTATTGTCTTCCTTCAGTTGATTCAAGCACCATTCCTCAAATTTTGGATCATCCGGATGCATCGACGATGGCCCCGCCCTCTACAGAAGAAAACCCTAAAAAAACCGAGAAATAAAAAAAAAATAACGAAAATTCCAGCACTTACGCTACTCCCCGGTATATGATACCGCTATCTCAAAAAATCGCTCCTTACACGTGTTATTCCACTGACCGCCAGCGCGCTACTAATACTAATGTACGCATCAACGTAAACTTGAAAGGTACTGAGAGTCTCAATGCCTCTATTTCTTATGCCGAATTGAAATCTGTTAATAACGTAATAACGTTAAAATCATCAGTGTTCGGGTTGCGGTAGTTAAAACCGCTAACTTAGTTTTCTTGAAAATTTTAAGTCACTAACCATCAGCCCATAAACCTTTTTTTTTTCTCAAATACCATGAGAAATACATGTTTTTTGCAAAAAATAAAAATGCTACAAATGAATACAGTTCTTCATAAAAATCAATTGAGGGAACAGGGACGGCCCTAAAAAAAAAAAAATACGATATCATTTATGGCAGAATTAGGGTGGTTTTTATCCTTCCATAATTTCAGTTGGTGTGATTTTATAAAAATTGAAGAAAGCGTTTTTGAGTTATTAAAAAAAATTGAAAATTTTCTTTCTTCCTCACGAGAAACGAAGCACTTTGTGATATAGGCAATTTTGGTTCAATCGACTTATTTTGTTCTCGCCAATATACAGTAGCACTATGTACACGGAATTTTGGGACACCCTGTATATAAAGAAAGAGGATCAAATCATTAGGTAATAATATTTATTGTTTTGTTGCAGGAAGAATTCTAGTGAAGTGATCGTCTAATACCGCAAATCAATTATGAAAAGTGTTCCAGTATTAGCTCTTATTGGACTGATGTCAATTCATTCGAGTAAGTACCTAGTGAAAGTTTTAAGTACTTAGGTATATTACGTTACGGTAATAAATGCCCTCTTGAAAAACATACATATATCCTTGTATAAGGAAATCTTCACACATAAAAACAGAATTGGATTGGTTTTTTTTTAAACTCGCTACGCACCTAAGCTCCACACACGTTCATAAAAACATGTAGGTACTAATAAATTATTTTCAATATTGAAGATTAAAATTGGTAATTAGATGGAGAGTGGTGTTAAACTAATACTATATCAATAGGGTAGGTATGTGAATCGAAGCAACTCTTCATCTTATGAATTAAAATTGATAAAGATCTGTAATTTTGCAATCAGAAATTATATTAAACTAAATAATTATACTTATTAACGCGCAGTACTTAATTCGTACTACACAGTATTGCAGAAGTTATTGTTAAAAATTCATTTTTTAACAGGTAATTTAAAAACCAACCTGCTTGGCAACTGTCATAGCAGAATATCAGAAATATTGAGGTAGGCAACGCAATCACGTGGTCAAAAGTGTCACCACGTCTGTCATATTTTTACTACACTTCCTTCACTTATGACAGTTCGTCTTGTGACATATTGTGTAATCTTATTAGGCATTCCAACGACCTGTCAAACAATAGGTGCCAGTGGGAAATTCTTGTATATTTAAGGGGGTAGCGACATAGTCTTGCAACTTGGACGCTATTTTTATTCGAAATAGTACTCGCCAAGCCTGCCAATTTATGAAGAAATGTATAGGTGGGTTTTTTAAATATAATTTTTATTGTGTTTGACATAAAATATTTAAATGTAATCCATTATTCATGATTTTACGTAAAGTAGATAGAATACACCATATGTCGCCACCCTTAGATATACCAAACCTGCTCACTGGTAATTCATTTGTTTGGAATGCCTAGTATACTTTTACATAAACTATTAGTCACAAAACACATTATAAGAGTAATGATATCGTGTGCCATGCGCAAATGCACTAACAGAGATGGTGTCATGGTGGCCATGAAAAGAAAAACTCAAAAATAATATTTCATAAATAAGTGTAAACACAGTACAGAACGGTATTAAAATAAATATTGATAGACTTTTCAGAATTAGAAATAATGGTTTTTTTATCATTGATATCAGACATTAGAAACTATATGCTAAAAATTGTAATACTTCCTCTATACAGTAGATGTAGCGCAATGTTTTAAACGAGATTATCATAAAAATATAATTATTTTCAGTGGAAATGTTAGTTACGATATCCTGCGTTGTGGCCTTCGCACCATTTGATTCACCCAAGTATTTAACAAACGTGTGCCAGATAAAACAGAAGTAAAAGTTGGAAATGATTTTGCCAGTTCTCCCACTTTATACACATAAATTGACAGGTTGGCAGAGGATCTCACCGAAGTGGACGCGATACATTGGCGTACAAAATTATTTTATAGCTGTTGAAATTTTGTAAAATTATAATTTGAATATTATAATACATGTTTAATAATTATTTATAATCCATAAATACATGCGATTGTCCGGTTCCGCCGATAACAATTTAAAATTACTTATTCTATGAAACGACACTGGCAGGTAAACATTACTCGGAGCCGCCCGACGTGGTTTGACGTTTACCCCCTCTCTACCTATCAAAAGCCTTTTCAACTTTTACTTTCTCTATACTTTATCATTTTGTAAAGAAATTAAATTAGAACAATTTCAAGGTGTTAATTTTATATTAATTTTAAATAATGTTTTTATTACAATTTGGATATGAAAAACCAATTACTAAGGTAAAATATCCACAAACAAAAACAGGTTTTATTAAGTGGCTTATAAACGCAAATGACACACTGCGTTTTTAAAGCTAAAAATTTGTATGTAAAGTTTAAAAGCATTTTATGATAACCTTATTGCGACTGACATATTAAATTTTACAGAAGTCTGTTATTATGTTTTAGTTAGTGTAAACATAAATTTCAATATATTTTCATTTTACTCTAAAATAAATTAGGGGAAATGTTTAATAAGCTTCCAGTGATGTGATAGATATATGATTAAAATGTGAAACAATAATAAAAACCTGATTTAGAAATTCGTTTTATTTTTCTATAGTTTATGTTATGGCTAGTTTTAAAACTTGGAGAGTATGGTGAGTTTTTCTATTTTTTACTATTTTATATATTGTGGGCTCAAAGTCAACACACCTTACACCACATATTCTCCTTTCCACTAGGCGAGCCTGAAGATGAAGTGATGATACTTCGAAACCGGTCGCACTCAATGTTTTGTTGAATAATTAAACATTGACTTTCCTTGTGAGATATAAAGGACTTTTTCTCCCCCCTTCACCTTAAAATTACCTCAACTCACACATGGCTACCCCCTTGTCAAGTTTTAAAAGAATTTATGTACAAAAATACATTTTCAGATTTATTACGTCATACTTTGGACTAATACCCTTTGGAAAATCATATAGTCCAGGATCCGTAAGTAAGGTCGACCTTCACCCATCTGTTTACCGGATGAAAGTTTCTTTTTATTAAATAAAATATGTTTTTAAGTATACCGCAAATGGGTTGCCTAAAAAAATACGGTCACGGCCATTTTTTGCTTTCCTTTCTGTGTACAGATGAGGAAAGTATAGGAATCATGATAAAAGTTGCTTATGATGTCATTCTCCATTATTTTGTCCCTATACATGATTTCCCAAAAATGGACCTAATTCGAGATATTTAAGAAAAATTGCAAATTTAGAATTTTGAAGACAACTCAAAAACGGATAAAGAGAAAAACACCAAATTTTAAACTTAGGCTTTAAGCTATCCTACGGTGAACTGATTAAAGTTTGGGCATAATCGAAGCATCTGAGAAATACTTTACAGGGTGTTGTTTTTTTTATTTTTAGAAAATAAATACCCTGGACTATATTTTCTTAGGCAACCCTTTTGCGATATATTTATAAACATATTTTATTTAATAAAAAGAAACTTTCATCCGGTAAACAGATGGGTGAAGGTCGACCTTATTTCTGATCTTAGACTAATAGGATTTTAATAAAAAAATAAATCGCAAATAAATATACCAATGTCAGACTTTATTGCTTAAGTAAGAATAAAATTGATAAATCATTAACTACTAGATATCAAAGTAATAAAAATATATTATTTAAGTGATTTTAATATTCACGTCCACCGTACGCATTTTGTTGTATAAGATTGTATTTGGGTGTGTAATCTAGTTTTACATGTTCTAGAGCGACTATGATTAATAATTTTGATTTTGGATTTTGTTAAGCATTTTATTTTGTAAAATAAACATAGTTCTCTCCAATATCGCCCAATTTATGTATTGATTAATAAGGTACCATCGGGTAGATCGTATCCTTATTATAACATTATGGCGACCGTTACAGGACAGATTTTAAAGAAGAACCAGAGACTTGGAGATCCACCGAGTATCATTTGAAAGGATTTACAATGAGATTTTGAAAAATGTGAGGAGCTCTGATACTGAATTTAGTGATATACAAGGCGATAAAAAGTTGAAAGCATTACTAAACTACATAAAATTTATTACTGGATTCTGAATGTACTGAGGAAGATATTGATGCTACTGTAGCCGTAAATGATGATCTTATCAGCCGTTACAATAAACTCAAATGCAAAGTAGAACAACAAGTTTAAAGAAATACATGTGGCGAAAATTGTTCCAGAGCAAGTCATTCAGGTTTATCCAATTCAAGTTTAAGATGATTACCTCGTATAGAGTTTAAGAAGTTTGGAGGTCACATTAAAAATTGGTTACCATTTTGGGGTAAATTCAAAAGAATTGATCAAGATAAAACGATAGCTTTAGAAGACAAATTCCAATATTTATTAGAAGCTACCATACCGAAATCACGAGCCCGTAATTTAGTAGAAGGATATCCTCCGACTGGTCAAAATTAATCCAAGGCATTAGAAAGTTTAAAATCTCGCTTTGGAAGAGAAGATCTGCTTGTGGAATTTTATGTTCGAGAACTATTAAAACTAGTATTAATCAACTTGCAAATTAATATTTTAGTTTATTTGATGATCTTGAATCACAGTTACGAGCGTTAGAAACTTTAGGCGTAACATCAGAAAAATACGCAGCTATGGTATTTCCTCTGGTTGAATCATCTTTACCTGAAGACATTCTACGTGTTTCAAAACGCTCTCTTCCTACCGATGATGATGATGTAGCCTCGGAAGTACTGTCTGTTCAAAGCCGACCCAAGAAATTAATGAACTTTTCAAGAAAGGAGGTAATGAATGAGAAGATAGCTATTTGGCTTTCTGGATTTAATCTTAAAACTAAGAATAAAGATGTTAAAGAAACTGGTTTAGTCAACCACAAATCAAGACTAACTAAATGTAATTTTTATAAGAATGATTATTCCTTCAAAGAATGCGATAAAGCTTTAAAAATGGATCTTTCTGAAAAAAAAAAAAAAAATATGCACAAAGGGATGTTGTCATATTTGTCTAAAATTCGATCACATTGCTCGAAGGTGTATAGTCCATTTAGAATATTCTAGTTGCAAAAAAGATATGCTACTGTTATGTGACCGAACAAAGAGACTATTTCTGAAACAGATACCGTCCCGAAAAATATAGAAAACAGCTCTAACGTAGAAAACTTGAGTAATTTAAATTACAATGATGTATTTCTTCAAACACTCGTTGTTGATCTATGTAATGGAAATTATTCAATACGTGTTAGTGTTATTATAGACACTGGATCGTAAAGATGATATATACATACATTTTCCGATAATGAAATGGATTCTGAACCAGTAGGAGAAGAAAACTTAGTTTATGCATTGTTTGATAGTTCTGAAACCGAAACTGTTTTGCATCATTGTTACCGAATTGGCCAACTTAAACCACAATTATTGCATGTAATCTACAGGTACTTGATCAACCTATAATTTGCAATAATATAGTTTCTATCAGAGGTGGCCCTACAATATTTAGATTCA